GCTGAGTAGTCATGTAAATGTGTACAGGCACTAGACAATGGCTTTGTACCGCAAGGGTACAGAAGCACAGGTGTGTCCCCTTGTGAACTCAAGGTTTCAGATGTTTCTCTGCTGGCTGAGATGGTGGGTTGGTAGGGCATGTGTTTGATTGCCCTCTGGAGAGGGTGCCGCAAAAGGGAAATCCACCATCACAGTCACCCAAGTGCTTGTTTGGTATAAGAATGAGAGGCAGTGGTGTGGACAGTGAAGATGAAAAGGACTGACACCACAGGAGGGGAAACGAGAAGAACTTGGGACAGAGGGTGCTTGGACACTGAGACAGATCTTGTGGGATAGCCTGAGGCTTGCAGGAGACAGGTGGCCCACCTTGATGTCTGTCCCATGTAGCTTGGTTCCCCCTAGTGACTGCACCACTCCTTAGATGCACTAGTCCGTAGAATGAGCTTCCCTCCGGGGTCTTTGTCCTGGGATGACATGGATATTTTGTTATTGAGTGGCATCTATTTTACTGTCCTGGAAGGTAATCATATGTGTAAGATCAGTAGTACTGTATATGGCCATTTAACCCATAAACCAAATGAGGTTACTTTTATTTAGATGTCTTTCATTGTGACCCAGGTTGTATATGTAAATAATTTTTAAGACAAATATATTTGCTAAAAATAAACAGTTACTTTGTACTAGGTTATTTTCATAATCCAACTTGGACACATGTTTGAATAGACAGATATTTAATGCTTTTTAAGAGGTATTGATATGCTGTGAATCTTACTGATGTGGTCAGACATAAATGTACTTACTTATTTACACAATTTTTACAAATACTTACATCTATATAATATGAACAATATATACATCTGTATAATATATAATTTAAAACACATACATATTTGGAGTGTAGGAATTTGTTTATGCCTTCATTGCTGAGAACTGACTTCTGGTGTCCTGCGTGCTGTGAATGTGTACATGGGGAATATGGTCACTTAACAAGGTTGGAATTAGCAAAGCGAAAGGCTCCCTTCTTCCTAGAGGAGAATCTAGTACTATGCTGTGTGTTTGCAGTAAGGACTATAACTTTACTGTGTGACACTTGGTTGTCACATTTCTTTATTAAAAGAAAAAAAAAACTGATAGTGAAGAACTGTCTCTTTCCCGGAAAAATGGAGAATTCTGGCATCCATATCAACATAACTTTGAGAATGAGGAACACTTGGCTTTTACCACAATATCAGTGAATGAATGATATTGCAGGGAAAATAAACTGGAGCAGAAGAAACCAAATCACCTTTAAGTAAATTTTGTTGAAAGCCTGAACTGAAATACTTAGTAATTTATAACCTGCAGTAATTTGGGTATGGCGTTAAACGCATCTCGGAAGAGACTAAACTTTGCTTTCAAATTACAGCAACAAGCTCAACCAAATTGGAAGACCTGAGTTACTTAGATGGGCAGAGGAATGCTCCTCTTCGAACGTCGATTAGATTGCCGTGGCATAATACGGCCGGAGGTAGGGCACAGGAAGTTAAAGGTATTTATTCTGCGTCCTCCGTGGGGATGGGTATAATGGAATGTATATGGAACTAGACAGTGAAAGTCTGTGACAACCAGCATTTAAACCAACTGTGTTAAAAATATGATGTGAAGATCATGGGTGCTAAAAACATTTCTCTAGGGTATGCATAACAGGTTGGGGCCTCTTCCTTAAAGTAAGTGATAATAGGACCTGCAGATGGTGTAATGGTACATCACTGACCTCCCACATGGCTGACCGCGTGCGGTTCAAGCCTGTGAGGCAGTTGTGTGGTTGGCAGGCTTGCCATGCAGCAAAGCACCGTCAGGCCCATTCTTTCCCATCCTGAGGGAAAGTGTGTTTCCATGCGACTCAAGCACTAGTAGGGGAAGCAGGTCTTAAGTCCGGTTTCAGAGCTGCTGATGAAATGCAGTTTGGGCCCCGTTGCTTTCTCTAATCCTCTGTGTGTCTGCCTTGAGTCATGAGAATAAATCAGAGGCGTGAGAAGACTAGAGAGACCACTCAGGAAGACATGACAGGATCAGTGGGGTGCGATAAATGGGGGTATTAGAGAAGTATTAATAGAACTGGCTGGGAAATCCTTAACAGATCCCTTGTGGGGTAAAAGTAGTGGCCACACAGTAGCCCCCTTTATCTGTGATGGTTATTCCCACAATTTCAGTCACCTGCAGTCAACTGTGGTTCAAAAGTAGGTGAGTAAAGTACAATAAGATACTTTTTGAAAGAGAGACCACATGCACATAGCTTTTATTACAGTGTTTTGATATAATTATATATTTATTAGTTATTTATTTATGTTAATATTTTACTGTGTCTGATTTATAAATTAAGCTTGATCATAAGTACGTATGTTTAGGAAAAACATAGTACACATAGTCGTGGTGTCAGGTTTCCATGGGGATCTTGGAATGTATCCCTCGCATTCCGGGGTGACACCACACCAAGGGTAATACGCAATGATATATTGAATTTCTTAGTATATAAAATTATGACAGTCTTCTAAAATACTAACCTTCTTTTCTGTTAAAGCACGATTTGCTCCCTACAAGCCACAAGACATTTTGTTGAAGCCCCTGTTGTTTGAAGTGCCGAGCATCACAACAGACTCTGTGTTCGTGGGGAGGGACTGGCTTTTTCACCAGATAGAAGCCAATTTGAGGAACACAGAGCTGGCAGAAAATAGAGGAGCAGTCGTCGTTGGAAATGTGGGGTTTGGGAAGACAGCAATCATCTCTAAGCTGGTGGCACTGAGCTGCCATGGGAGCCGTATGAGGCAGATTGCGTCCAACAGCCCCAGCTCATCACCTAAAAGTACGTCTGTCTTAGTTACTTGTCTAGTTGATGATGTTAACAGAAGATAGATGGAGGAAACCGCAATCTGGATAGACATCAATTACCAGTTTTCCTCAGGTTGTTCCAGCTGCTGTATCGGGTGTGTGACCGTGTGTCAAGGGAACTCTGTTAATACTTCATGGTTCATAGTGGGTATTTAGTGACAGCACAGGTCGAGACTAGCCTTCCCTGATGTCCTCCTGCACCATCCTGGCTTCTATCTCCCTCTTCACACAGGCAGAGGTGGGCAGTGAGGCCAGATCAAGTGCCCTGGAGAAATGCTGGTCCTAAGACCGAGGAGTTGGGCTCTTAGGAAAGCAGTGCAAATGGAATCTGACACAGAATCTTTTGTACCCTGTTCACCACAGCCTTTTATATACTGGACTTACCCAAACTGTAAAGACTAAGTTAGACGTGTGAGAGAGTAGCTAAATATTTGACTCTTCACTGCTTATTTTACATGTAATAAACCCTTTAAAAAGAAAGTGCCTCAGGACCAGCAGATGCCATAATGGCTACGTTGTTGGACTTCCATGTAGTTGACCATGGTTTGAGTCCCGGACCCGGTTGCTTAAACTTGTGCTGGGCGTCTGTGCATACCTGCCCAAGATCCCAAGAGGAGAATGGTGGGGAAAGGATTATGGTGTGGCCATTCCCCCAGGACGTGATTTCTCACTTTCTTTCTGGCAAACACACGTGCCCTATAGCAAAAACCTCTCAAAAAAAAAAAAAAAAAAAAAAAGTGTCTCCAGCTGGGAACAGTGGTGTATACACAGGTAGTCCCAGCTATCTGGAGGCTGAGGCAGAAGGATTGTGAGATCGAGGCCAGTCTGGGTAACATAGCAAGACTCTGTTCCTTAAGGAGAAGGAAAACAAAACAAAAAGTAAAACAGCAGAAAGTGTCTCTAAACGTGGTGAACGTGAACAGTGAGCCATGTGAGATTTTGGTGTATGTTCATTTGAGCTATGTCCAGTCATTGCATATTAAAATACTCGCTACTAATTAAGAACCGTACCGCATATCCCACCATGCTCCTACGAGAGTTAAGTAACGAATTGGGTCTTTGCAGCTTCAGATTCTGCCCAGGACCTTCCTTTCACTCCACTGCTTTCACCGAGTTCCTCCACAAGTGGCCTCAACACAGCTAAAACACCGGCTGGGGCTGGGGCTCCTGAAAACCAGAGGCCGAGAGAGGATGCAGTGAAATACCTTGCTTCTAAGGTAATCTGCACTTGTCTTTTTGAAGCCTTCCAGATAGATTTGTCAGCTTGGTTTTTGAGAGGTGGATTGGAAAAGAGATCTTAAAACAGAGACAACATTGCTTAATGGTAAAGTGTGTAGCTTTAGATAAAGTCGTGCTAGAGGACCTCAAGTGAAAGATGTGAATAAGTATCTTACGACATAGGCAGTGGACTTTGAGCCATCTTAAACAATGGATTTTTTAAAGAATTCCTCAGAACAGCTGAAGGCAACACCTGCCCTCCGTGTAGCATGTGTTCCCCTTAACTGGCTATGTGAGCAGGAGTCGGAAGCCTTTGACTGGACCCAATCCTTTTCTGCCCCGCTCCTTGGCCTGGGCCTTTAGTTCCCTGTGTCAATCCATGAGAAGCTTGGCTGACTCTCTCTTCCTAAACATGTCACAGAGGTGTCTGAAATCTCCCTTCTGCTCAGCATCCATCGCTGGTTCCTGAGCCGCCCTCCTGCATTGACTCTGTCTCTCACCCTGGTGAGCTACCTGGGTCTCCTTTGGCAGCAGAGGTGTGAGTTGGTGGAAATAGCGACCCACCAACAATGGGCAGTGATGAGGGGACCTTGTGAGGAGATCCTTGGGGTGAAGTTGCTGCGGGAGAACTGAAATAAATGATGCTCTGCGCCAGATTCCTGCCTTCTCTGCTCCTTCCCAAACACCAGTCATTCTTGGCTTGGTCAGCCCCCATGCTCTGACTGTTGGTTTCCTACAGTCTTCTGGTCATGAATAGGCAATCTGAGCTGAGAATGCAGTGCAGACTTCAAAGCCATGCATCATATGATTCTCCAACAACCTTCAACTGTGACCCACACTAAGAGACACATCTCCCTAGAGACCCAGCTCTTGGGTGTACGTAGTCATAGAACAGAAGCAAAAGCACTGTGAAACCACACTTATTCTTAAATCCTGGCATCCATTCTTGGAATTTGAACTCATTTTATTAAATACATAAGCCATTGTGGTTCACAGTTGATTTTGTAACACACTGTTGAGTTGTGAGGCTGCTTTTGTCAAACATCCTGCAAGGCTTGGTACTGAATGTGATGGGGGAGATGTACACAAGTCCAGGGGACTGCACATGTGTTCCATCTAATCTATTTCCAGCAGAGTGAAAGAGCAGTCAACTTTTCTGAGTATTGATAGTAAGTTTAAGCTAGAAATCATCTGGTGGGTCCACGTTGGCCTGAGAAAAGCTACTCTGCATCTACTACTTCCACTTGGTTTTTTGAGTCCACAGACCAGGGGCTGTAACCCCAGATATCACATCATCTCTGTCACCTTGGCAAGACCTTTCCCCTCTGTCTCTGGCCCTCAGCTGTGAACTGTGACTAGTGGTTCTTGTCCTACTTCCTGTAGGGTGTGCAGTGCCAAGTGGAACTAGAGTGACTCAGATGCTCCTGAGAAACATGGAGCGCCTGACATCAGTGTGTTTGGCCCCCTTTCACCTCTTACCTCATACTTACATTCCTCTTTCATCCTTCCTTGGAAAAGTCTCAGATGTTTCATTCATCTCCAGAATACCTCTCATCCCCAAGAGAGTTCTGTGTCTGCACTTTCCTAAGGTCTCTAAGAAATAACTTATCGCCCCTGCAAATCCCTTGTAACAAAGGCACCACTCCTCATCCCTCAGCATGCAGGCAGCTCAGAAATTTGGGAATTTATGATTTTCCTCCTTCTGACAGTATCTCTGTAGAACTTCTCCACAGTGTCCCTTGACAAAGTGTGGATGTGGGGAACTCTTCTGCCAGGAGAAGGAGCATTTGTGACTTCACAGCCACCAACTTTATCTTCTGCTTTTGGGGATTAGCAAAATAGTTCCCTTCAGAGAAAATGCTCTTTTTAAGAACAGAATTGGAGTGAAGATGGTGCTTTTTGGTGTCGAGAACACTGGGATTGCTTTAAACCAGAGTAGGTGTCTTAGTCTGTTATGTGTTGCTAAACAGAAATACCCAAGGCTAGATGATTTCTAAAGAATTGGAGTTTGTTTGTTTCATAATTCCAGTGGCTGGAAAGCCCCGGACATGGTGCTGACATGAGGCCAGCCTCTCATGCCACATCATAACCTGGCCGACAGAAGCAGAGAGGAAACAGAATTCCTACTCTCTGTTTGTCCCTTCCATAACCCCAGCCAAGTGGATGGTGCCATCTCATCATGGCTCACGTCTTTAAGGTCTTTCGACCTCCCAAAGTCATTACACTAGAGGCCAAGTTAGCAGACCATGAACCTTTGGAAGAAAAACCATTATCTGAACCATAGCAGTGAGCTTGAGGTTTTTTGAATGACATCTATTCACTTATATTCAATATGGAGTAAGCTATGCTGATTTGTGTGTTAAAGAGCGTGGATTTATGACTATAATTAAAGATCTACTGAGAACTCAACAAATCACACAAATGAAGGAAGGGATAAATGAATCAATTAGGCAAAGGAATGCCTCATTCATGGGAAGTAGAAGCCATGTATCTTGTTAGCTTGGGGAACAGGCAGAGTGAGGTTTCTGTTTAAGTGGTGGAAGAGCTGAGTGAGGCGGGAGAGGCGATGCTGATGTCTGTGCTTCCTCCGTAGGTGGTGGCCTACCACTACTGCCAGGCCGACAACACCTACACGTGTCTGGTGCCTGAGTTCGTGCACAGCATCGCGGCCTTGCTCTGCCGATCCCATCAGCTGGCCGCCTACAGAGAACTTCTGATAAAGGAGCCCCAGCTGCAGAGCATGCTGAGCCTCCGCTCCTGTGTGCAGGACCCAGTGGCGGCTTTCAGGAGGGGAGTGCTGGAGCCACTCACAGCTCTGAGAAATGGTACGTCCGAGCGGCAACACAGAATGCTCTCCCTCAGTAGTAGCATAGCATACGCAGGTAGTCCTCAGGAGGAGGGTGGTCAACCTGAATGGAAGTGAGGTGGGCAAAACAGCAGACATCAGGTCACCTTCCTCAGAACCGTCTTCCTGAGGTCCTTGCTTACCACCTTTGCCCATGGCATAGTTTAAAATGAAACATCTCTAATAAGAGTAAATTCTACAGTCGAACTGTTCCAAAGCAGGTAATTTGTAGCTGTAGGCTATTTCATAACGATGTACCCTTGAAGGCTGTTGTTTGCATATCTTGTCCCCCTCAGTAGCAGGGGATTAGGTGGATTATTTGGAACATTTTCCAGCATAGCATATGTTTTTGTCAAGGCCCCTGTCAAGTTAAAAACCTAAAGCCATTTCTAGAAGTTTCCATTGGACTTTTAGCCCCTGAATATTCCAAAGATAAGGGACACTGTTGATGGATTGGGCCCTTTGGTTTTCCATCTTTACTCCACCTACCTCCTTTGCATCTTATCTGCCTACATGGCATTTCTACAAGAAGGTGCTGGAGAGAGGGATCAAAACAGACATGTCATCATTTCTCCTCGGTTCCCTGGGCAGAGAGTTGAAAACTAGAGTTAAGCTGTGGCAGAAGTCTTTATTTTCTTTATTTCTTTATTTATTTTGGTTAGTTAACCCTGTTCTAGGGGCCTATAAAGTGGAGCTCTCACTACTATATGGCTTGCACTGGGCAGTTGGTCTTTGGTGGGTGTGTTTGTTTTTGTTTTAATCTGGAATCTACTTAGACATTCTTATGGGGGCCCTACTGTCTTTTCCAGGTTGGGTTTCTGCATGTGTTAGGTATTACTTTTGCTGTGTTATGAAGAGCTGGCTGTGATGTACATGAGTGAGATTCTGCTGATCTGTGTAATGCAATGTTTCTGGAAACTGTTTTGTGAGAATTGGTTTCCTTTTGGCTATGTCCTCCAGTTTTCATTATAAATTTAATAGAAAATATGCTTCTGTGAAAACCATTTCTTCTGCCATATGGAAACCTTTTAAGTTTTTACTAACACTTTAAACTGCACATTAAAATACACTGGATGGTAAGAGCTTATAGAAATGTATAATTTCTTCATTTGAAAACATTATTTTATCCTTTAGAACAGAAAATTCCTGAAGAAGAATACATTATTTTGATAGATGGCTTAAATGAAGCTGAGTTTCATAAACCTGATTATGGAGATACGCTTTCTTCATTTATTACCAAAATTATTTCTAAATTTCCTGCCTGGTTGAAGTTGATTGTGACTGTAAGAGCAAATTTTCAGGTAACAAAATAATTTTTAAATCTCTTTCCAACTCCCTGTACTCCAGTTTCCCAGTGATAGTAAATACTAATAACTTAAACTGTCATAAACCATCTAAGTGCTGGATTAAAAACTATATCGGAACTTTGAAAAATGAGTCCAAAGATCACCAAATGTGCGCAACTCTGACCTTTTTAGCCTTGAGGCGTAATTATCAAGGTGCCGGGTGAGCTTCCTATTAACACTGAGCTGTACCTACATGTCTCAGATCCTAGTGTCTAGTCATGGTTTAGCGTATGCAGCAAATGGGGCTATGTAGGTGGCAGCCAGCACCTGGAGTGTACAGCTATTCCTTCTAGTGGTCATTTGCATGGGTTCGTTATGGAACGTTGTGGGTTTTCATTTCTTTTCTCACCTCCCGCCCCATGGGACATGATCACACCATAGTCCTTTTTCTTCCACCTCCCTGGATTTGGAATTCCCACATATACATGCCACCCAGCATGTTTTTCAAGCTGCCAGGTCTCAGACTCAAACCATGCATTCAGCCCTGTGGGATCTACTTGCCTTAACTCTCAGGCCGTGGGCTAGCCGGAGTACTATTTTTTATAAAACTTAAAATTAGGTTACATTTTTGGGAAGGTGGACAATGATTTCTTTTTCTTTTTCACCTTTTTCCCCTCATCTAAACCTTACATTAGAGTTTTCTCTCTCTTTTTTAAAGAGATCTTTCTTTATTCATTGTAGTGTGTTTGCACACACAAGACAGACAACAGAGCACACGGTTTGATTATGCTCTGAGCCCTTCTTCTATCCTCCAGTCTTGGATCTTGGGCACTCATGCTAATGCCCAGCATGTTTCAGGCGTACCCAGCCAGGGGTTCGAACTATGGTCACCATGTAGTAACCAACTTCTTATGTGAGCAGTACATTGCTGCTGCAACATGGAGCCAGGCCATAAATTTTTTTTAAAGACAGGGTCTTGCCCTGTTACAGTCCTTTGACTTAGCCTCCCAGCTGGGACTACAGGCATACACTGCCATGCCCAGACTTTTTTTTTTTTTTTTTTTTTTTTTAAAGATGGCGATCTTGCTGGGACCAGCAGTTAGCGGAATGGCTATGTCACTGGATGCCCATGATGTAGTCGACCGTGGTTCAAGTCCCAGACCTGGTGGCTTAAACTCATGCCAGGCATGTGTGCGTGCATGCCGAAGATTCCGAGAGGAGAAGGGATTGCAGCGTGGCCATCCCCCCTGGGGGTTGACTTCTCACTTTCTATCTCTCTCTCTGTCTTTCTGGTGAGCACACACGCCCTATAGCAAAAATCTCTCCAAAACAAAGAAGATGGCGATCTTGCCGTGTTGCCCAGACCAGGCTTAAACTCATGAGTCTCTTGCCTCAGCCTCTTCAGGTTGCTGAGATTACAAGCTGCATTGCACCTAACCTTTAGAAAGTAAACCTGGGCTTCTCCTGTGGTCCCAACCTACAGAGCACAGTGTCTTAGCGACATTCACCACTTGGTTGGGCTTGAAATTATATCTAGACCATGGACTTCCTCTACATCTCCCCTTTTTTCAGTAAAGACAAACAGATATTTTTGCCCTGTGATAAATATTTAAAAATAGTAGCTGGTTGGGACCAGTAGGTTGCATGGTTGTTAAGGCACTGGACTCCCACATGGCTGAACGTAGTTTGAGTCCTGGACCTGGTAGCTTGAAAACATACCAGGCAATCTGCATGCATGTCCAAAATCCTGAGAGGAGAATGTACAAGAATGGATTGCAGTGTGGCCATTCCTTCTGGTGGGTAGGAGTCAGTAATTTCTCTTTTCTTTTCTCTGTCTCTCTCTGGTGAGTGCATGTGCTCTATGGCAAAAACTTGCGCCGTCTTTTTTTTTTTTTTTTTTTTTTTTAAAGATGGCGATCTTGCTGGGACCAGCAGTTAGCGGAATGGCTATGTCACTGGATGCCCATGATGTAGTCGACCGTGGTTCAAGTCCCAGACCTGGTGGCTTAAACTCATGCCAGGCATGTGTGCGTGCATGCCGAAGATTCCGAGAGGAGAAGGGATTGCAGCGTGGCCATCCCCCCTGGGGGTTGACTTCTCACTTTCTATCTCTCTCTCTGTCTTTCTGGTGAGCACACACGCCCTATAGCAAAAATCTCTCCAAAACAAAGAAGATGGCGATCTTGCCGTGTTGCCCAGACCAGGCTTAAACTCATGAGTCTCTTGCCTCAGCCTCTTCAGGTTGCTGAGATTACAAGCTGCATTGCACCTAACCTTTAGAAAGTAAACCTGGGCTTCTCCTGTGGTCCCAACCTACAGAGCACAGTGTCTTAGCGACATTCACCACTTGGTTGGGCTTGAAATTATATCTAGACCATGGACTTCCTCTACATCTCCCCTTTTTTCAGTAAAGACAAACAGATATTTTTGCCCTGTGATAAATATTTAAAAATAGTAGCTGGTTGGGACCAGTAGGTTGCATGGTTGTTAAGGCACTGGACTCCCACATGGCTGAACGTAGTTTGAGTCCTGGACCTGGTAGCTTGAAAACATACCAGGCAATCTGCATGCATGTCCAAAATCCTGAGAGGAGAATGTACAAGAATGGATTGCAGTGTGGCCATTCCTTCTGGTGGGTAGGAGTCAGTAATTTCTCTTTTCTTTTCTCTGTCTCTCTCTGGTGAGTGCATGTGCTCTATGGCAAAAACTTTAAAAAAAAAATCAAAGTTGGTTAACTCATTTTTCTCTTATTAAAACTAGAGCTAGACTTCAGTCAAAATTGGTGTTTAGACATTTGATTCATATGCTTTTCAGTTATTTCTTCATGCCCTAAACCTGATTTAGCAAGGAGTGCAGGACAAGAACATGGGGCCTATATTTTACTTCCTAGCTGTGCACATTTGCAGAGGTTCAGTTAGTGTCCACACAGATCGGGATTAATTGCACTCTGCCTTATGCCTCCAAGTTACATTAAATGAGCACTTATACTGAAAAGTGATAGAAAAAAGTTTGAAAAAACCAAATAGGCAAAATTCCTCTCTGCTGTTAGGTGTCAGGGTAGTGCTCTTTGAAACAGGGAGAGGCAGGAAGAGGAAGTGAGACTTCTGGGAACTGGTGATGTTGTTTCTGATTGCTGGTTACAAGTGTATGTTTGACTTTATATAAATTAAAGTTACTGTGCAATTATGAGTTGTGAACCTCTGTGTGTATATTATACTTTTTTACAAACAATTAAAAAATGATGACAGGGCAGGCTGCAGTGGTGCAGCAGTTATGACATGATCTGCACTGCTGGAGCCACATGGCAGGGTGCTAGGTTCTCGTCCCAGGGTCTCCCTGTGCACACCTGGGTTGGTTGGGGGTGGAGTGCAGTGTGAAGACCCTGTTTGGGGTCAGTTGGTCCCTCCCTTCCACCTTTCAAAATACGTAAATAAACTTTAAAAAAAAATGAGAATAGGCTGCACCATGGCATGGCAGCTTGGTAATGAAAGCTGTTATGGGACAAGCTGGGGCAGTCTTGGATTTCCTGCTCAGTTTACACAGCCCCGCTAGCTGACGTGGGGAGAGGACTGCCTCTTACCTCGGAGTCTGGCTGTGTTCTTAGACATGCAGTGTTGCTTTGTGCTTGCTGTACTAGTCACACAGTGTAAGATTACGGGTATGGGGTCACCTGCAGGGTCTCACTGCCCCCTATAGCCCTGGGTACCCTTCCAGTTCCACTGTCTGCATGGGGCTCTCACTTATTCCTTGGCCCTGAGTCTTCGGGTAAAGGCCTTGGGAAAGCCTTGACTGATTCAATCTCGTATCAGGATTTCTTTCACATAAGCTTTTTTATCTTTACCTTATCCTATTACATGTTTTGATATGAAACAATGAGTCCCTGTAATCCACGAAAAATCCTCCTTGAAAGAAAACTAGTGAGTCTGGTTTGAAATGTTGCTAAAAGATAGGAATCTCTGTGGAATGACACCGTGGGCTTTTGTGTCTTTCCCAGGAGATCATAAGCGCACTGCCATTTGTCAAGCTTTCCTTAGATGACTTCCCAGACAACAAAGACATCCACAGCGACCTGCATGCCTACGTCCAGCACAGGGTCCACAGCAGCCAGGACATCCTCAGCAACATCTCCCTGAACGGCAAGGCCGATGCCGCCCTCATCGGGAAAGTGAGCAGCCACCTGGTGCTGCGGAGCCTTGGCTCCTACCTGTACCTCAAACTCACCCTGGACCTCTTCCAGCGGGGACACTTGGTCATTAAGAGTGCCAGCTACAAGGTGGTGCCCGTGTCTCTGTCTGAACTCTATTTGCTGCAGTGCAACATGAAGTTCATGACTCAGTCGGCCTTTGAGAGAGCGCTCCCCATCCTAAACGTGGCCCTCGCGTCCCTCCACCCCATGACGGATGAGCAGATCTTCCAGGCGATTAATGCTGGCCACGTCCAAGGGGAGCAGGGATGGGAGGACTTCCAGCAGAGGATGGATGCCCTCTCCTGCTTCCTCATTAAGAGGCGAGACAAAACCCGCATGTTTTGCCACCCATCCTTCAGGGAGTGGCTCGTCTGGAGAGCAGATGGCGAGAACACAGCCTTCCTGTGTGAGCCCAGGTACATGCCTGCAGCCCGGGTAGGGTCCTCGTGCCGCTGACTGGGGAAGGTGTTTCAGACATGCTGCGCGGTTGCAGTGGGACGGAGACCCAGATGAAGAATTCAGTTTTGCTGCTTTGTTTGCTTGTTTCTTCCCTTTTTGGTGTAAGGAGAGGGTGATGGAAAATTCTCTCAGCTTCTAAACCAAAACGTCCTTCCTTTAATGGCTAGAATTTTAAAATTCTAGTGTGTCTGAATGAAAGGGAAGTCTGGGTAATCTGTTTGCGGCCCACTCTCTTCTAGATTCCCTCCCTCTCTCAGCTTTGACACCATGAAGGCGCAAAGTGTACTCGGGGAGCAGCGGCCTCTAGAGGGCGCTCCTGGTGGGACTGCGGGCTGTCTAGGATCCTTGGCCCCGCCACTCCCCCGCCACCACTCCAACGTGGGTGACTAGTGCCAGGATTCGATGTGTCTGTGTGTCCATAAGGGAGCGCCAGGATCTGATCTGGCCCCTACCTTTGTATTTCTGGTTCAGCTCAGTGCAGCAGGTGAGGCACCTCTCTCCACCGCCCTCAGCGGAATTCCACTGGAGGGGCCAGGGAGGAGAGCCTGGCTCTCAGGTGTCTTTGTAATGGGTGAGAGGCCAGGAAGGGAATTCGAGGGTACAGATGCTTTCAGATTAACGATATGCTCAAGCTCAAGCCCTCCCCGCTGCCTGGCCCTAGCCTGCGCCTCTGCTCTCCTGAATGGCTTCTGTTTTTTTGCGAGTCTGAATTGCCCCTATACTGGTAATGGTGCTAAGCTACCTGCTTCGGCTTGTGGTGGGCATTTAACCAGGTGCTGGGATCCAGAAGTGAAGAGGGGAATAAGCCCTGTGGGCTTCCCTCCACCCATGCACATACATTGAGCATTGACCTGATGGGTCTAGCTGCTGTTTTGTATTGTGACTGTTGTTTCTTAGTTGACACTAGGCCAAGGGGTGGTTGTTATCTTTTGAACCTGGTTTGGGGCAATAAACTACAACATCTAGGCTATTTTGCCAGATGATAATAGCTAGGTGAAATGTGTGCTGTAACATATCTGGCCAAGCGGGGCCATTTCCTAGGAAGGCAGGCTATAGTTGAGTTTGTTGAAGTATAAAAACAGTGAAAAGGGGGCCATATGGTGGCACAGCACTAAAACACAATGCTCTGCAAGGCTGATCTACATGGGAAGGTTCCAGGTTTGCATCTGGAGACCTCTCTGAGTGTGCTGGTCACAGGCATGCCCATGATCTGGGGCTGGTCGAGGCTAGACCTTGTTGGGAATAGTGTGTCTCTGTTGAGAGTGTTGTCTCTCTATTGGGAGTGCTGTCTCTCTGTTTCTTTCTCTCTCTCACTCTGTCTTTCTCATTCTTAGAAGAAATAAATAAACAAGAGAGAGAGAGAGAGAGAGAGAGAGAGAGAGAGGACTCCAGCAGGGAGTGAGGTTTGTTTCTATATTGGAGGCTGAAGTGTTGGATTATCCTTACTGAGCTTTGCTTCATTTGGGCTACTCCATACTTGGTGCCAAGAGGGTACACAGCCCAGTCACAGATTCCTGAAGGCTGCTGTGTTCTTACGGTAGGTGTGGGAACTCCCCTAGGGCAGGGCCTGAGCTAAGGGGAGGTAGGAGGGGTGCTAAGGGTGCAGAATTTCAGGAGACACTCACTCGGGTAGTACAAGTTGACATTTTCCCAGAACACCTATACTGAGTCTCATTAAGCAGGCAGAGACCATATAGAACCAAGTCGGCAGGGAGGTTCTGGATCCATTTCTGTGGCCCTTGTTGAGGCCCCACTATGTGCAAAGTACTGTGGCAGATAAAGAAATTCCTCAGACAAGGACAGGAAGGGAGGGTGAGGCAGGAGGTAGCAGTGCTTCAGGGAGCACACTGCCTGTGGGACTTCAGGAAATGAGGGTGACGTCTAGAAAGTGTTTCATGTGTTTCACGTGCATGGCGACATTTGGGTTTTGAAAGAAGGTAGCATTTCTTCCCTCATCCCAAATGGTTGTATTTCTGCCCAGCTATTGAAGGAAAAAAGTAGAGAAGTTCAGCACCCAGAGACAGTGGCACTTCACTTTCTAGCTTGGACTCTTTCCATAGCGTTTTACACAGCATACAAATAATCTTCACTCAGAATTCTTGTCCTCTTTCTTTCTTTTTCCTTTACACATAGCAGGAAAGCTGTTAGGAAGTATTAGACAATGGACATTTTCATTTTTCGTGACTGTACCAACCTCCTAGTAGACAAACTCAGAGTACTTTAGTTGGACTTATCCATTGTTTTTAGGATTTTTACAAACAGGATGAATATACTAATACCTTGAAAATCTGGTTTTTCATTCCGACTCCATCGGTTCTTTGGTATTTCCTGTGCATACATTATTTTAATTTTCCAAGCCTTACTTCCCTATCTATAAAAAGTATGAGTATCTTCTCATTGAGTGGTAACGGCTATTAAGTAAGTTCTTAAGAGGATCTGCTACTTCCCTTCCTCAGGGCCAGACAGAGGTTAGCGATAAAACATGATGTTCTTCAAGGGTGACCCATGTGGGAAGGTTCCAGCTTCGGGTCCAGAGACCTTCCTGAGTATGCTGGGCATGCATGGGCCCATAATTCAAAGGTGGCCAAAGCTGGGGATAGGTTGCAGCATCAGGACCTGTCTCTCTGACCCATGAAAGAAAGAAATGAATAAGCCTAAAAAATACACACACCCACAACACAAACTTACACACAAGTAGTTTCTCAGTCTTTTATGTTAGACTTGAACAGTCCTCACATTTTACAGTATTTGCTACCTTTGGTTTTGTGTGTGTGTGAGGTATACTAAATTACAAACATCTCCCAACCCAACGTAATGATGAACGATGGAGATAATTGGTATACTAATTACCCTAATCCAATCATTACACATTGTGTTCCTGTACTGAAAAATAGCATTGTATCCCCACAAATAGGTACAATCATTATACGTTAATTAAAAATTATTTTAAAATTGTAAACATCGTGACATTTCATTTTAAATAATTGACTCTACACTTGAAAAAGGAATGTTTTCTTACTTAACCATACCATTACCATGATCGTATCTAAAGTATTAGCAGTTTTTCAGCATCCTGAAATGTTTTACTAGGCTGATTTTACTACTTCCTTTTTTTTAATGTTCAAATTAGGATTCAAAAAGTCTACAAAATACATTCAATTTTCTCTCTTTTAATCTATCGTTCCCCAGCCCCTACTCTTTTTGTATTTTTTCCTCCCACGATTTGTTTAAATAGAGCAACTAGGCACTTTTTTGTATGATTTCCCAGTTCGTATTGCTGAATTCATTCTTATGGTATTTTTCCTGGGTTCATCTGTCACCTCTATTTCCTGTAAACTGACAGTTAAATCCAGAGGCTTGATTTTTATATAATTTTTTTTTTCTAAGAGCACTTAATAGCTGGTGGCGAGTATTTCTGTCAGGAGGCATGTAACATCTTAATGCTTCTCTGTAATGCTAGGAGTCATTGACCATTTCCTGGATCCATCAGTTCATTAGTGTTGCACAAACACTGTTGTAATCTAGAGCAATCTCCTCTCTGCTCTTTTACCCATGCCATTAACTTGAGGCACGATGGATAGGAAATTAATAGTAGCACAAGGCTAGCACAGACAGAAGGAGCTATGAAGGCAGCGCAGGCCACGTTCTGGCAACAGATCTAGTTTGGCACTTTTATCATGAAGAGAGGAGCAGAAAGAACTGACAGAAGGGGGCTAGGAGGTGACACAACAGTAACACAACTGGACCCACATGGGGAAGCACACCAGGTACTTACAGGCCTGTGATGTAGGCTGGCTAAGACAAGACATGGACTGAGGCATGAAGACCCTGTTGGGGTTGCCTGTCTGTCTGTCTCTCACATATGAGATAAATAAATAAACTTGAAAAAAGAAAGAGATGACAACCAGATTTGCTAGGAGTGCAGCTCTGTATCCGTCATCTCTGGGGGCCCTCTGAAGGTTCTGGAGCACATATCATCTTGTGTAGACAGGAGTGTGGAAGGTGTGGAGTGGGCACCACTGTCCAGGCAGGAGCAGGGACTTGTGGACTAGGATTGGAGATGGAGTGGGATGAAGTCAGACCTTGCTGACTGGACGTAGCTGGGTGTGGCTTGGCCTGTGGGCAGAGTCATGGAGGAGGAGATGTAGGTGACTTGAAGTTAACCCTGAGAAAGTAAGAATGACATTGCTTTTAGAAATGGTAAGAAAGACGGGACCAGCAGTTAGCGTAATGGCTATGTTGCTGGACTCCCATGTAGTCAACCACGGTTGGGGTCCTTTTAAATAATTGACTCTACACTTGAAAAAGGAATGTTTTCTTACTTAACCATACCATTACCATGATCGTATCTAAAGTATTAGCAGTTTTTCAGCATCCTGAAATGTTTTACTAGGCTGATTTTACTACTTCCTTTTTTTTAATGTTCAAATTAGGATTCAAAAAGTCTACAAAATACATTCAATTTTCTCTCTTTTAATCTATCGTTCCCCAGCCCCTACTCTTTTTGTATTTTTTCCTCCCACGATTTGTTTAAATAGAGCAACTAGGCACTTTTTTGTATGATTTCCCAGTTCGTATTGCTGAATTCATTCTTATGGTATTTTTCCTGGGTTCATCTGTCACCTCTATTTCCTGTAAACTGACAGTTAAATCCAGAGGCTTGATTTTTATATAATTTTTTTTTCTAAGAGCACTTAATAGCTGGTGGCGAGTATTTCTGTCAGGAGGCATGTAACATCTTAATGCTTCTCTGTAATGCTAGGAGTCATTGACCATTTCCTGGATCCATCAGTTCATTAGTGTTGCACAAACACTGTTGTAATCTAGAGCAATCTCCTCTCTGCTCTTTTACCCATGCCATTAACTTGAGGCACGATGGATAGGAAATTAATAGTAGCACAAGGCTAGCACAGACAGAAGGAGCTATGAAGGCAGCGCAGGCCACGTTCTGGCAACAGATCTAGTTTGGCACTTTTATCATGAAGAGAGGAGCAGAAAGAACTGACAGAAGGGGGCTAGGAGGTGACACAACAGTAACACAACTGGACCCACATGGGGAAGCACACCAGGTACTTACAGGCCTGTGATGTAGGCTGGCTAAGACAAGACATGGACTGAGGCATGAAGACCCTGTTGGGGTTGCCTGTCTGTCTGTCTCTCACATATGAGATAAATAAATAAACTTGAAAAAAGAAAGAGATGACAACCAGATTTGCTAGGAGTGCAGCTCTGTATCCGTCATCTCTGGGGGCCCTCTGAAGGTTCTGGAGCACATATCATCTTGTGTAGACAGGAGTGTGGAAGGTGTGGAGTGGGCACCACTGTCCAGGCAGGAGCAGGGACTTGTGGACTAGGATTGGAGATGGAGTGGGATGAAGTCAGACCTTGCTGACTGGACGTAGCTGGGTGTGGCTTGGCCTGTGGGCAGAGTCATGGAGGAGGAGATGTAGGTGACTTGAAGAAGTTAACCCTGAGAAAGTAAGAATGACATTGCTTTTAGAAATGGTAAGAAAGACGGGACCAGCAGTTAGCGTAATGGCTATGTTGCTGGACTCCCATGTAGTCAACCGTGGTTCGCGTCCCGGACCCAGTGGCTTAAAAATCATGCCGGGCGCGTGTGCATGCGTGCCCAAGATCCCGAGAGGAGAATGGAGGAGAAGGGATTGCGGCGTGACCATCCACCCTGGGGGATGATTTCTTGCTTTCTGTCTCTCTGTCTCTCTCTGTCTGTCTGGGAAGCGCACGCGTCCTATAGCAAAAACCTCTCCAAAAAACAAAAAAAGAAATGGTAAGAAAGGCAGAGGGTGTGGGAAGGGTAGAGTTTTGGCACTTTGAGCTTGCAGACAGGTTCAGTGGAAAGTGAGGTCTGAGGCTTGGAGACGAGGTTGGCACTGGAAGATCTGGCATCATGGGTGGAGAGGTGTGGCACAGTTTGCTGATGCATAGATAGAGGAAAGAGAGTGCCGGACTTGGGGGGAAACGTCAAGGAAAGAGGCTGTGGTGCTGCCTAGAGACGAGGGAGGAGGAGCATGAGGGGGAAGAGGGACCTGGATCCTTTGAAGTCTCCTTCCTTTGGCTGTGAGGGGTGAACAAGGAGACAGCATATTGGGAGGGGGAGTTGTGGGTTGAAAGGTTTGAAGTGGTTGAATAGAAGGGAGGTTTTTGGTTAGGAGATTGGGACATTGCTGGAATCTTTACTGAGAGACTCTGGGCAGACACATAATCCCTAAAGGAAGAGAAATTGGAAATGCAAAACAGGAAAGGAAGGGAGCTAAGTGAGAAGCAGCCTGCCTTCCCTTCATTCTCACATGTCTGTCCCCGTTCAAGCTGAATGATGCCTCGTTTTTGTGTCTCCTTGCTGAGATCTTCTCAAGGGTAGCACTGTCTGGCTCCATGTAGAACACCCAGTACAAAGTTGGAGGCAGTTATGGGGCAGATGTTAGTGAAGGAATGAGGAGCCATGTGACATTGGTCAGGAATTCAAGCTTTTAGCTCTAAAAGATTGTGATTCAAATCTCTGCTATCTCTTTCTGGCCATTTGGTCTTGGACAAATCACTTAACCTAGCCAGGCCTCCATTGAGTAATGTGAGCGCACTCAGGGATTCAGTGTCGTGTGGGCAGTTGAGATGATCAGTCAGGTTTCTTCATCTGGCATACAGCGAAAACTTAGTATTTGAATGCTTGGAAAAAGGAGCAGACCCGTGAATGCAGGTGGTCTTAGACTGAAGGTGGTCCCAGGAGCCGGAAGGCAGGAAAACATGTTGGGGTAGGAAACACAAGAGCCAGATGTGTGACAGTTGCCTGGGGCTTTCTCTCCTTAGAGAAGAGGAAAGCCATTGCTTAGCTGAGACTACTGGAAACCTTTGACCTGGCTACTGAAGGGAATGTAGGCATTACCTTGAAAGGACCAGCCATGACACTGAGTGTGGTGGACACAGTTGGCGTAGCCACTGAGCTCAGTCAGCTGGGAACCTCAGCCTGTGGCTGGGAGTGAGGCCCTGACTGGTATCATCCAGACCAGATTGAACCTCAGGACCACCCATGGAGAGGGTAGCAGAGTGTGGTTTCCATGGAACATCCTGCTCTGGAGAGGTGAGAGCATGGGAGGCTTTCATCTCGGAGAAGTGTGTAGGGGATATAGGCTTGTGCTCAAAAGTTCCATAGCATTGCAGAATGTTCAACAGATGCTCAGTGGGCATCGTGGCCTTAAGCTCTTGACCTCCCCTGTGACACAGAAACAAGTCTGTTAGTCTTCATCTGCCTCATTTCCTCATTCTCACATGGTTTATAACCTGTCTGAGAAAGAGGCCTGCCTTTGGATAAATTTAAATAAGACAACACAATTTAAACAATGCATACTTCTCATCATTTAGATTAGCAATGACCAGGAAAATGAATTGCATACACACACGTATGCATATATACATATAAATAAATGTCCATTTAAAAACTGTGTGTGTGTGTGTGTGTGTGTGTGTAAAATGTTTATCCTTTACATCTAAAACTACCCCTTCCCCCATGAAACAGCAGCTCAAAGTTGCCAGGTTGATAAAAGTGAAAATAATTCCGTGCACAGGAGTCACTTCTCTTGGAAGACGCAAACGCCAGGTGTCTTTCCCAAACAGATTGGCTCAGACAAAGGCAGAGTCTGAAGGGGACAGAATGAGTTCTATAGTTGGAGAGGGCAGGTGGGCAGGGTGGCTCCTTCCTGAAAGGGTTAGTGGAGTGTGAATGGGTGGTGTCATTTGAGTGTCCCCCGCATGCCCAGCTGCCCCAAGTCCACTCTCAGCTTTGTCCCCCCCAGGACCTCTGTTCCCTCCAAGCCTGGGATCCCTGCTGCTTCAGATCATGAGCTGTTGCCTATTATGGCCTGCTCTTTCTGTTCTTCCCATGGTAAGGCTTTGTCATCTGGCCCAGGCCTACCCCAAGTGGTGACTATCCTGAGGGAAGGCCAGAAGGCCAGGCCCAAGCGTGGTTCTTCTCCGTCTGTCTGTCCTTCCACCATCCATCGTCTATCCATCTAGGAAACACGTTTGTAGCTTTTCTCAGTGCTGGGCACATTCTAGGCATTGTAACTTAGACAAGACCCCCAGTCTCATAGAGGGCATAAATCAGTACACAAGGTGGTTCCAAAGGTGTAGACCTGCCGTGCCTTAGGGCTTTGGCATGGGTCACTCCACAGAGCGAGAGGAATCTAGAAAACCCCCAAAATTACTCCTAAGAATACACAGCACTGGGACCAGCAGTTAGCGTAAGGGCTATGTCGCTGAACTCCTATGTAGCCGACTGTGGTTTGAGTCCCGGACCCGATGGCTTAAACTCATGCCAGGCGTGTGTGTGTGTGTGTGTCCAGGATCCCGAGAGGAGAATGGAAAAGAAGGGATTGCAGCGTGACCATCCCCCTGGGAGGTGATTTCTCGCTTTCTTTGTCTCTGTCTCTCTCTGTCTTTCTGGCGAGTGTACTCGCCCTATAGCAAAAACCTCCCCCCCCCAAAAAAGACTACACAGCACTTGCCCTCGTTGTAAAGAGGCAGCTGTTTGCTGTTCCATGTAGCCATGCTGAAACACCAGGAGAGTGGCTCATACTGAGGGCCTGTGGGCAGTGGACGGGGACCTTTTGTCATGAACTTCTTTGTTGCTCATCCTAGGAATGGACACGCACTCTTGGCATTCATGTTCTCCCGACAGGAGGGCAAGCTGCAC